TCACCCAAGTGGAGGCGGTGTTATACAAATCACAACAGAGCATTTGCTTGTAAGATAAGGGTGTGCAAATCAACGTTGCGTGAAACGTTTCAAACATGCGCGCTTAAAAACTTTGACTGTGATTGGACCAATGCGGTTGATATAATTTGTTCTTTGCGTGCATCTTCGTGAAGGAGATCTAAAATGCTGAAACCACAGTATGAAAACCCAAAGGAATATAACTTAGTCTTTTGTTTTCAACGTGTAGGCGAGGCATGGAAGTGCAGTAACTGTGAAGTTCCATATAAGGCTCGTGGTTGCTATGGAGACAGCCCATCACGCGTATTTAAAGTACAAGTCGTTAACGAGCGAGACCCCACAAGTAAAGTCTATGGAGGCCGAAGGATTGATTGGAGAGACTGGAATAGTTACATAGAGGGTTTTGCTTGTAGATGCGCTAAACTTGTCAAGGCCAAAGGATGGACTGTGTTTGGTTTGCAGTTTTATGGTAAGTGCATTTCAGATTTAAATTACAAAATATGTCATTTCATATTCTAACACTACATTGTTATCAAGAAAGATATTGTGTACGGCTTTCAGATTGCTTCACAATTTATCATTGCTGGTAAAGACTACATACCCGGCAAATCAACCCACTCAGAGGTCACCATGGTTTCAGCTGCTTAAAAAAAATCCAAGAGCATGCTATTCATTACCCTTCCCCCTTCCCCACTGACTGAGAGTACTGCTACCCTCACCCCTCTCCCAGAGGGCAAATGTAAGTCCATAGAAAGTTAACATTTACCCCTAGAAAGTGTTCCCAACAGTTAACTGATTCCTATGTCTACTCCTGTGTGGAAATAAGACTTGAACTGTCCGAGTACAATTCTAAATAATGAGTTTTTCTAATTTATTAGCTTTCGATTGACTTCTTGCCTAGTCTAACAATGGCTGGAAATGTACACTAGAACTCAAAACTGTGCCAACCGAAGCGTGAACCTGGACATCGTATTTCGATTCAAAGTCGAGATTTTCAGTCCAAGTTGGGTAACCTTTCATTACAACTCCCCGTAAAAAGTGCCATTTTATGGGGTGCTATATATTACATAGTAGTATCAGATTAATGAATTAATGATAAGTACTAAATAATCAATATATCAATATTTAGGGGAATGCTGGAGTGGACCTGAAGGTTCTTATGACCTGGAGAGTATGACGCCGGAATCGACCTGTATCTCAAATGACTATAACAAGTGTGGCAAGTTAGACAGACACTGTGTTGGAGAACAATGGACTAACTTTGTGTTTGAACTTGGTGAGGAACTTCTGTTAGACTAAAATGAAAAGCTTTCTTTATTCATTAAGCCATCAGAAGCGTGTTTACATTTTAGGACTAATTACCGCCTCAAAGTAGAGCACGTATAAATTTCGTTTGTTTGTCTCCAAAACAAATTGAGGCGTTTTCTAACAAGGAAGTTTTCTGCTATGTTTTTACCACATCCTTTAACAAGAAACAAAGCGCGATTTATTGATATTTAAAGGGCCGGTGCGCACTGAGCTGGCAAAATGTGTTTGACTCTATCAAAAATCTCGACAGAATTTGTCTCCTCAAAATTTTCTATTTGTTAATCGTAGGTGCACCGAAAAAGAGCGAAATACTTGTTAACCACAATTTCAATCACAAAGACGCACAAATTGAACAGTACTGAAAGACTTTCATTTAAAATGCGAATCAAATTTTTTTGATTGACGTTATTTTCTAAATCATGGCGCGTAAACTGGGAAATCTATCAGATTTTACGCCTGACTAAAATTTTTCTTGCTCCGAGGCAGGACGATGGCACCTTAGAACATTGGTAAGGCTTAAAAAAATTTAATAGGAAAAAAATCACCGAGTGCACTTGTCTCAAGCTATTAATGACAAGTTTTTTACGCAAAGTAAACAAAGATTTGCCTGTGCATCCAGGCTCTCAAGGAAGTCTCCGCAAGCATGCATCCTATATAGATGGAAGACGCGCCTACCGACGTCATCAAAATGAATTCCTGCATTCTGTAACTTTTTGTTTCCATATGTTTAGAATCCGACTGTGACTTAGATTTTGAGAGGATCGGCTGCTTCAAAGACAACAAGCAGACTCCGCGCCCTCTGCCTCAGTATCTAATAACAGACAGAGAGCGCAGACTAGAGATTTACAGTGGACAGTCTATAGATTGGAGGAACTGGGATGTTTATATGCCAAAATTTGTCTGTCGCTGCGCAAAGGTAGCTAAACAGAATGGCCACAATACGTTTGGAGTACAGTATTATGGTACGTAAGACTAACAAGCTTGTGTTCATAGGGCAGCTAAAAAAAATTGAAGTTAATGGTTACTCTGAAGGTCCAGTCTGTGAACATTGATTCATGTCGTAAAATTTGCTTCTTTTAGGAGAATGCTGGAGTGGTCGCGACTCAGAAAAAACATATAGTAAGCTGGGCGTGTCGAAAAATTGTCAAGACAAGTGCTTTGAGAAATGCAAGCCCTTCGAAAAGTATTGCGCAGGGAAAAACTTTGCCAATGCAGTCTATCGCCTTTCAGGTTAGTCAGGGTAATGATTCTATTAATGTGATATCGCTTTATAGCCACTCTTCATGGAGTGTCAAAGTAATCCACGATAACGATTGTTTTGCTTTACTTCGCTCTGTGATTGGTCGAAAAAGATCGCGTCACGCTTTCAACCAAACATATGCACGCGACTTGGTCACCCACATTTCCCCGTGTTTTAGGCAGTTATCTTGTATTTTTTAAGGTCCTATGGTCTTTTCGAAGTATTTGCTATCGCGCTGATTAGTCGTTGTGATAACTTTGCTTTTGGTTCTACGAAACTCAGTCGAAAAGCGCTCTTTATTCATAGCCAGTCACAATTACCTCCACAAAGTGAACAATCAGACGTTGTGACGAAAAGTCAAATAAGAAAAATGTCAGGTCGTTAAGTAGAGAGCTCTTGGAATGACGAGGCAAAACCTACACCCGGGGATGTTCATCTCTTACACATCCGGGTTATTTTTTTTCCAGATGCCGGGTGCGAGATATCATATGAAGCTGTTGGTTGTTATGGTGAAGTCTCGTCCAATCGTGCTTTCACTAAAGAACTTGTGAATGAGGTGAAGCCCTTTAGTCGGGCATTTAACGGAGTAATCATGGAATTTGGGAACACCTGGGAGGAGGGTTTCAAGAAATTCCTATGCAGATGTGCGAGGGCAGCTCAGCTTAAAGGGTACACCATGTTTGGTGTTCACGAACATGGTGAGTTTAGTTATTAAGCAAGTTACAGAAAAGTACGTTAAATAATGTATAGTATAGACGAAACTCAAACGATCTACCATCTCAAAACGTGTAAAATAAGGTATATGATATCAAGCGCGGGAAAGCATTTCGCAGGTGAAAAGTGTTAGCGTGGAAAGCAAAAATGTTTTCCGTCGGAGAAGATTCTGGAAATTTCTAATTCTACAATCACTGAAAAGGCGGGAAAATCGTCGGAACGTTGACAAGACATTAAAAAAATTGGCATTCGGCGTCGCGCCTTAAAGGCGGGAAAATCCATAAGAACGACAGGACACGGAAAAAATTAGCCAGCTGTACCAAACGCGGAAAGATTCCGCAAAATCGAGTCGTGTTATTTGACAAGCTTCTTTTTAGCCATTAACTGTGGTAACCTGCAAAACCATTGTTTCACGATACGCGAACTTCCGGTGTTCGCCATAGTTTCCGGTTTGTATATTCTGTCAATCAAATAAACGTGGTTTAGTTTTTCTCAAAATGGCGTGTTCACTGTGAAACACAAACAACCATATTGTCACTTTTACCATTTAGTAAAAAAAGGACAAGGAAAGGAATCACACACTGATTTAAACAATTAATTTGCCACTTTTTTTTTAATCTTTGTAGGAGAATGTTGGAGTGCCAGCGATGCTGATAAAAACTACGACAAGTATGGCGCATCCGACCAGTGTTTCTAGAACCTCAACCAAACTTGTACCGAGGGCTCCAGCTCCTGCGCCGGGGGCACAAATGCCAATTTTGTGTACAGGATTGTCTTGTCATAAAGCGTGATATGCTGTAATATCAATAAAGTGTTGAATAACAGCTATTTTCTTGTATATTGATGTTATTATTCTTATCAATGTAATGTTAGTTTTCGATAACCTTTTTTTTGCGCCAGAGCCAGACGTTTTCACCTGCTGTTTCTCCGACCAACTAGGACTCTGGGAACGAGAATATGATGTCATATAGAGACGCAAACCAGCTGCTTGCGACGTATCTAGCTCCTATGTAATAGGCTGTTTAAGTGTAGTTATAAACGATGCAAGTATCTGAGCAACTGCACACCTACTCCTTCCCTTAATAACAACACTCAACTGATAACAAGTCAGGACTAATGTACTTACAATGATTACGATAAACCGTTGTTACGGGAACCGCTTTGCGCCGAACGCTTGCATTCGACAGCCTTTCTATCGAATATCACGTAGCGATGCTCCCCAAAGCTAGGGCGAGATATTCAAAAGACGTTTTTTTTCTCTAGTTCGAGTGAAAAACAGAAACACAAAAAACTACGCTAGCCTCCGCTACGTCCTTGAAAGAGTAAGGAATTGTTGAAAATCTTATAAAAATAGATTAAATCTTGTTAGAGTTGTGTTACGAACTTCCTAACTCATTGCCGCTCTGTCGTCCTAAATAATGCGTCGGTAGCGGAGGCGGGGTAGGGGGGTGTAAAATGGCGTGGGAGGGGAGATAGAGGCGAGCCTATCAGGAGTCGTTCCAGACTCCTTGACAAACATGTTTTGTCTCGTTAAACTGTAGGCGGACATGTGGAGTCATTACAGGTATTTGTAAATATATACAAGAGCGAGTGGATAAGGCAGGAGCACAGCAGACTATCAGTGACCATTCTCACACAGGAAATGTAGAAAATTTGTTTTTTTAACCGCCTGTTCGTCTCGTGATAGTTTGACGCTAACATGGAAAAAAGTAAAATGAACATCTCGGTGGATTGCTGTCTTTGTTTCGCATAATTTCTGCCCGGCGACTTCGGAATGAACAGCGTTGTTATCTTAAAGCTTTGGTGAGTATTGTCTGTCTGGATGTAGAATACAGTGCAATTAATTTGTGCTTTTGGATTTGAAAACATTGACATGTTTTCGGTAAAGATACACATTGTGTTTTTGTTTTGTCAAGGCGACGTCAAACCGAAAATCGAAAACATTAATGATAAGTCGCCTAACTTGTCTTTCCTTTAATAATTCAGATAAGTTATTATTTTTTTTGTCGTCTCGGAATCCAATTATGTATTTGATAAATCTGATATTCACTCCGTGTAATTTTGTTCTTTTATTTCTAAGCTACTTTTAGTTATACGGGTGAATCATCAGGAAAGCCATGTTGTTTACTCGATCTAAATTTATCAATTACGATATAAAGATTAGTCCGAGATCTTGTTCCCGAAACTTTTAAACAGGAAAAATTAATTCCTCGTTAGTTTGCGCTGTTCTGTTCAGTAATTTCACGGTGCGAAATTCGTGTTGAAGTCGTTCTTGGGTCAATAACAATATTTCATGTTTTTATTGTTAACAGTAACTAATTTTATACGAGGTATTCATATGTTGAGGAAATTTACATGAGATTACAAACATTCTTGCCATGACTCGTAAAGACAATGCGGAACATTAGTAAGACTTTCTTGCTGTTTAAAAGGACGCAAATTGGCTAGAATACTAGCCTTTTGATTTAAAACGATGAATGAAAAATATATAAGCTCGCGACAGCTTGATAGGAACTATAATTTGTGTTTTTTTTGTTTTTTAGCAATTGTCATATTGGCCTCTAGGATATATCTCAATTTACAGGTGCAAGCCATGTCTGCGATCTGAACTGAATTTTGTTTTGTAAAGTTGCCTTTTTGAAAAATCTCTAATTATAACATGCCTCCAAAAAGAGTTAAATCTCGTTGCTAATAGAATAAACTGGAAGAGAAACTATGTGCAATATTTCCTGTGCATTATTATTGTTTTATGCAAATATTGATTTACCCTCAACTTTAAGCTCCAACACGATATATTAACAACTTTGAAGCTTGTTACATAACCACTGTATGCAGGTAACCAAATGGAAGCTTATTTAAAACTTTTCCTTCTTGTCTTTGTGATCAAAATGGCCACATGCAGTAAGGAGTTTTGAATATCACCTACATATGTATTACCAAGGCAACAATGATGTCACCTTTTATCAAGATAAAATCTTTATGAAAGTCCAGATGATCAACATAGGCTGTGCTTTCTATAGCTTTCTTGTATCACAAAATACTGTAGGAAGTATACTGGTATAAATTACTGGGCCATCTATGTAAGCAGCAAATATATGCACATGCTCATGAACTAATCCTGATGTGCACAGAACTAAAGATCTATTAATAATAATATGCACCTTCGGGGTTGTCAGTTATTTAGTGGCTTTTGTAGATGTAACTGCTGGGTTTTTGTTGAATTTTTAAAATAGGCTTTTTTTCACCTTAACTTATTGTTATAGCCTCAACCCAAATGTTTGCGTCATGAATCTTTATTAGTAGCATGTGCTATCAAAGAAAACCATTCCAAATAGAAAGAATAGATTCCATGTTGCTGTGCATCTTTATAGTAACTAAACCCCAATGGGCAACTGATATGTCAGCTGATAACTTGTCCACAGCTGAGAGATTGTCCAAAAAACAGGGGAAAATGTCAAATATCAGGAACAATGTCTCTTCCAAGGACATTATCAGCCAACATACCAGAAAGCCAGAAAGGGGTTTATATATTTTATAACCTTCCCATTAATTTTCATCTCGAGGGTCCAAGACTCAGACCAAACCAACATTTAAGGTCTTGAAATAACTGAGAAGAATATGCTTTATGACGTCTGCAAATGGTATCTTCTCTGTACTGGTTAGCAGTCAGGACATTGAAGAACCCATTCACTTCTCACAAAGAATAGGGAACATTACTCTTGGTGTTGTGGTCTGGCCTTGTTGATGTTTAAACAGGCCTCCATTTAAACTTGCTTTAGAGCTGGATAAGGCCAGACTTTCTATAATATTGCATTTATTTAAATAAATAAATGATTGTTGTTAAAATTATGTTTAAAACTCTTGAAATGTTGGGGTACTTTTCTGTTCTTCAGGTAATGACCATTAGGCAAAAGATTCATGATGGTGGTCTTCGCTGATCTCCAAATAGAAATTTGAAGCTGATGGACTCAAGTAGAAGTCCAGACATGCACATTGGTAGTAGTGATGTGAAGGATATTCCAGTGCAGGGTCTGATAGATGGAGCTGATGAACAACTGAACCTGCCAACTGAACATGGTGAGGATTTGGATCATCTGCTTGTGTCATGTTTTCAGACACTAAATTTTAACCTTTAATACAGGGGCTGAAAATTAACCCCTTTACAACCTGGAGTGTGTAAAAGGAATTTCTGCCTACAGTATTGATAAATTTTCCAAGCAGAAAGGCGATGAGAACAATAACTTCTTATTAACCCAGGGTGAGGGCTGTACTGGAGATTATTACCCAACTGCAGAAAGTAGAGTACAATTTTTTGTAAATAGTGTACAAATATCCTGCAATATTGTATGGTTATTTGAACAGTTGGTTACTTTGTACTGTAAAAAACCTGTTTAATCTGTTACACTCTAACATCAGTATGCATTTTCTCCATACTTTTCTTTATACATTTCCTAAGGTGCTGACAAGGAGAATTTATTCGCAAATCTAAAGATTCCTTTCCTGATGACCATTTTGTTTATTCTCATTACCCTAATGTATGATTCAGGAGTGATACTGTAGGGAGAAATTAGATGCTGGTCACTGTTAGGATTTAAAGGGTTAACCAGTTGGCTGGTTGCTTTTCCCACCATATGAGAAATGAACAAAAAGACTTAGCAGAAAAAAAAGGAGTTGGATAATAAACAACTTCTGAGACTTTTTGGTGTGTAGTATCACTGGGTATTTTTACTTATCGTTTGTATTTGGACTCGCGCTAGGGGCTTGTAAAAATACAGCACAACTCATTTAAATACTCAGCGATATAGTATATTTTATATTGGCCTGAGGTTGTGGTAGTATGGGGCAAGCACAGCGAGGTCCATATGAAAAGAACAGAGGGTTGATATTCCCCACTATGGCTCAAGCAAGCGAACTTAGTAAGTTCCTTATTATATGGCAATCAGAGCAAACTTGTTTATTTTGAATTTGTTTGCTTTTGTGAACTAAAATACACTGCCCATGACCATTTCCATGGAAATGGTTAGTACTCATCAGAATGCCTAAATTTATATCAAGACTACCTTGCTATACATTGATGAAAAACATCAATTGAAGGATATTTGATTTAATACTAAATTCTCAGGGCTGAAATTATAAGAAATGAGTGGTAAACAGTATAGAGAATTGATATGTGGATCTGGGAAGAGAAAGAGTTTCAGCAACCAAATAGACAGCCTTTATTCCAAAATCCAACAAAAGTTTCTTAATAAACCAGCTGTTATTTTTGCCCCAAAAAAAAAGAGAGAAATTAGTTTTGATAAAAATCGAGACATTGATGGCACCAAGCCAAGCTTTATGATCAAATTGAATGCTTCATGAAAAATTCAGGAACTTGACAAAAATACAATTCTTCCAATTTTAGTTTTGTTTTCACTTTGTAGGAATGGTTGAATTAATGGTGTCTGATCCAGAGGATGACTTATCCCTTGGCACTGATGCACAGATCTTTTCCAAGGACAAAATACCACAAACCTCACCTGGAGGCTCAAGCAAATCTGCTGGGTAAGTGAATGTGTCATAACTCTTTTGTGGAGTTGGGGTGGGGTCATTAACCCTTTAACTCCCAAAAGTGATTAACAGGTAACTTCTCCCAATAATATCCATACATTGTCCAGCAAACAGGTAATGAGAATATTCAAACTTATCAGGTAGAAGTTGTTATCTTGATCTAACACCAAATTCTCATAAGTTCTTTTCAAAGAGATGTGTAGCAGGTAGAGGGGAGAAATAATAAGGAAATCTTGGGAGTTGAAGCCGGTTAAGTTTTGTGGCTATGTGAATTTGAATAAAAAGCACTTTAAAAACCATCAGTGGATAGTTTTTTTGTAATTGGTTGTAACCATGGATGTGTTGTTTTTGCTTTTTTCACAAGGTGCTTTTTTGAATCATCTAGTGATAGCACAGGGCCCCCAGGAAGAAACAGAGAGTGTAGAAAGCTTTGTAACATTGGAAGAGCCAACAGTTCAGACAGCATTTTGTCAAATGTTTCTGATTTCAGTCGGTAAGTGTTGCCATCTAATCTTTAATAGTCTTCATCACTACACTGAAATTAGCCCTTTACACCTTGACGTCAGAATTCATATTCTCTGTACCACTCTCTATACTTTTCCTAAGGAGCCTCGAAGGAGAATTTGTCTAATGATCAAGAGCTTCTTCAGTTGGTGATCATTTCCTTTATTCTCCTGACCTTTGGGTTTGATTTAGGGGTGAGGAGATGGTAAGGGATGAGGGGTAAACAGAAATTAGATGCTTGTCATTCTTTGGGGAAAAGGATTAAGAAGCAGTAACTAAAGTGAATCAATATCAGTATCTGGGCAACTGCCCACCTACCCCTCCCCTAACCCAACATTAACCCTAAATTGTTATCAACTGACTGTTGTTGGGTTAAGGGAGGGGTGGGTGGGCAGTTACCTAGATACTGATATTGATCCACTAAAGCTAACTGGTGTATTGCCCCTTTTTCCTGGTCAAATTTATTGCTTCTTTGATTCTTTATTTCTTTCCCTCTCTTAAGACACAACAAGAGAGTTGTTGTGTAGTTACCACATCACCTCCCATTCAACCCACCCTAACAAAATTAATTTCAAATGCAGGTATTTGAGATTAGGGTGGAAGCTTCCTGTTCGCAGCAAACTATTTTTTAGGCATCCAAAGTGTAACTTCATCTCTCAAAGATAAGTCAGCTTAATTGAATGCAAGGACGTTTGTATCTGGTATGTACGCAGATTAAAAAACCGACAAATAAAGATTGAACTTCATCGGATTTCCGACTAAGCAAAATGCCTCGTTTTAAGCGAGTTTTCACTTAAGTGGCCTTGTAGCGGTTAAGTTGACTATATTTAGAATTGCACAGTGACATGTTATACTCTTGAAATCGAGTTAACCACAAGACAAAGTTTTATAAATTTCCATGTCAGAATATTACAGGTGGTTTATTGTCAAAAATTTGTTCACCTTTTTGTTTATTTTGTGGCATTCATTTCAAATTGTTTTCGTGTGGAAATACTAAAGCATTCAACTTTGAAAGTTCCCTTTGAGAGATTGTGTGTCCTCTGCGGCGCGTCATCTAAGCGACACAAACGCTGACTTCTGCGGCGTAAATGGCATTTTGGGAAATTTTGTAGGTATTCTTTGTTATGTTACGGGGCGAATTACTTCGTTAACATCGCAGTTTGCTGGCTGTCTTGAGATGTTTAATGTATTATGTTTATACGAAAGATTATTCACACAATGAAAATTAATGGAAATTGGTAACCGTATTTTTGGTTACCCCGGGTGATCAACTGTGTGCCTTTAGGTAGTCACACTAAGTGAGCAAGAAGGCCTCAGAGCGTTAAAAAGGTGAGTTACGGTTACTGCACAATATGCAGTACGCCTCTGAGACTGATTTGAATTGAATGGGCAACCTTTGTATGTTTCTCTCTGATGAGATCAGAGAGAAAACAGTTCTAAAGCTAGTAATCTGTTGACAGTTCTGGGAATTTCACGGTGAAAAAATATAATTTATGAAATCATACAAAAGGAAATTGGGTTTTTCAGCACTATAGTCTCAGAGATGCAAAATTTTCTTTAGCTGTGGCGATACGGGACTAATATTCAAACCAGGAAAATTCTTGACTCGTTAATTTTGTTTTCCTTTATATGAAGGACCTCCCACGATGTAAGCTCACTGCTGAACGCAATGACCGTTGATCCGGAAGAATTTCTCAGTGATCTGGGATTTGCCGACACAGAACTGCGTATGCGTATTCCCGAAAGATTTTTTCAGTCGGCCTCCAGTGCGCAAGGAATCGATGTGGATTCATTTCGAAGAACTCTTGAGACGGACGATTTGTATGGATCATCGGTAAGTGAAGAGAATTTCATTCAGATCAATTTCCCATCGAATGTCGAAAGTATCCCAGGAATGCGTCGCTTTTGCTTTACTTCGGTCTATGATTGGTCCTCAAAATAAGAACCATCCTTGCGTCAAATCAGAAGTAAAAAACCAATTGCGACCTGTTCATTCGCTTTTCCCACGCAGGAAAGTTGCGTCATTCCACATTGAGTTCTCATTGGCTGCTTGTAATGTTTCCTTGGTTCTGATTGGCTGTTGTGATCACTTTGACCGAGCAACACTTAATCAAAATGCGCTCTATTGAATTGGGTTAATTACTAATATCCAGGTGCAAGGCAGTCAATCGCCGTTTTTTTTTTCGCAAATCAACTTCCAAAGCCAACAAGGTTCTTTAGAGTCGCCGCAGGAAATTCGTAGGATATTTACCAGTTTCGTATGGGTATGTTTTACACCTGTGAATCAGTGTTTTAGAAGTTGATCCGGGACGGGTTTAAAAAAAAAAAAAGTAGAAAGGTGAATCCAAAATATATAAGAGATCGAAATTAGAAGTTTTGTCCTTAATTAAGGTAGTGTTATTGAAGAGTTCCTTAATGCTGTTGAACAGCGTAAATTCTAAAATTGTGGTGATATACACTGCTAGAATCGTGCAGTGTGCTCTTCTAGTTAGGTTCTTGTCCGTTGACATAGATTTTAAGCTGGTCTAGTTTGTCAGTAGTTCGTTTATCGAGAAGCGGTTGAGGATATTTTGACCGCAGGAAAAGCATAGTCTCACTGATTTTCCATTTTTCTGTCGTTATATATTTTATTATTATTATTTTTTTATCGATTTACTGTTAAAGGGAATAGAAATATTGCTGGTAATGAGGTAAACACCGAGAAAAAGTGAATGAATTTGTGCAGGAGAAATTTCCTACGTAGCTGCTGATTTTCAGGTTTCGACGTAAGATTGCGCTTGTTTTTTCATTTGTGAATAAATTTCTGCAAAAGGAATTGCCCAAGTAGATACTAACATTCAGGTTTTGACGTAGTTTTTAGTGTAATTTATAATTATTCTAACTTGTTTTGTCAGGCATATCGATTTGTTTATTCTCAAAATTCATGCAGGCTTAATCTGGTCCTAAACGTTTCTTGTTTAACTTACTAAATATGTAAACAGTATTCTGACATTTTAAATTACGAAATGTTTCGGCCATTTTCCTTTTTGCTTTTTAAAAACGTGCTCGTTTATAATTTGACCAGTGTTTGACCATAGTTTGAAAGTACAGAAGAGTAACCAAGCAACTGAAGCTATTCTGCGTTAGATAATTCAGTTTGATGAAATAAAAAAAGACACAAAACAATTTTGATTTGTAATAACAAGGACAAAGGAAGGAATTCACCCAATTTGCAACGTTCGCTTAATGTAAAATTCTCAAGATGAACAAAAGTGCACATTTCCATGCGTAGATGAGTTTGGTACCTACGGAAATTCGCTTGTAGACATTTTGAGTGAGCAAACAGAATATTCCCGAACTAAATTTTTATGCCTTTGTTTAACCTCATCAACATGTTAATTCGGGTCTCTTGGAAATGCCTTGGTAGTGCTTGTGCGTGACGGCGTCTACACGTATTTATCACAGTGGATTCAGTTTAACGCGTGAAATTGGATCGGATGCTTGTGCGCAGGTGGCGTATCATCGAACGTTAAATTTGTGAGCGTCTAGTGCTCAAAAGTTGATACCTGAACGGTATTCAATTTACCAAAATACTACATCTCCTTTGAGCCACAAGAAGCAACGGATCTTATTGTTACGTCACTCAGATTAAGAGAAACCAATCTCTCATCAGCTTTTGTTTCCTATCGTTTTTTAGCAGTCCCAAGAGTCTTCGGTATGGTCGGACCCAGGCTCCAGCAGGATCCCCTCCAGGTTTATCACGTGTCACACGGAGCCAACAAACACGTTGTGCATGGGGCCCTTTAGCTCTGTGCCCCTTATCTCTGAGCCTGAAGAAACGTCTGGGGAGTCGTTTGATCTAATGAGGCACCTTAGACTCAACAAACCACAACACGTGACAAAGGGTATGTACCTTGAACCAGTTACAGAAGAACTTGAAGTGTCTTCGGTTGGAAGTGGAACAATTAGGACGAGAATTTCTAGAAAACTCTCTAACGAAGAAGGCACGATCATTGTACGAGAGGAGTCGTTAGAACAACCGAATCAGGATTCGGAACTAGTCTTGAATGTTCCTTCGGTTATTGTAAGCGAGAAAACAAGCTTTGATTCGAACGAGCCCACCGATACCAATTATACTGAAAACAATCGAGAAGAGGCGGTTATCATTGCAAATTTAAACGTTGAAGAAAGCAAGAGCATTCCCGCTAGAGAGGGTACATTGTTATATTATGCAACGAGTTCGTCAAGCAGTGTAGAGGCAGTGAATTCGAGCCATCACAGCACGGACAGCGATAAACTCGCGTCAATTACGAGTGATTACAGTGATATGGATGAATTACCAGGGAACGCAGTCGTGGATTTTGATCCAGGGGTAACAGATGTCTCTCCTCACGTAGCAGTCCCATGGCACTTGAAAGTTGCAAATATTGCTGTTCAAGATTCTTTTGAACTCGAAGAAATCGGAAATGAGGATTTTAACGAAAAAGAATCGTCATCGTTTGTAGATGAAGAAAGCGGATATAATTCCAAGGCATCAGACAAACGCTTGACAAGAGAAAATAGCGGGGAAAGTAGTGGCTTTGAAGAAATGTTTCCCGACAAAGACGCAACAAGTTCAAATTCTTGTTCGCCTGTTTTGAATGCGAAGGAATCTTCCACTATCGAATATACTTTTGTTAGCCAGGTAAGGCCACTGAAAGCTCTTTTGGATCCTGAAATGATTTGCAGAGCAGTGGAAGAAAAATCGCCCAGAGCGACATTTGTACAGAGGAGAACTAAATCTTTGACAAAACAGCGACCAGTTGACGAGGATAGTTTTGGATCATGGATCTCTAGTTCCAGTTCACCCCTGTTAAAATATGTCGCAGGGAGTTTAGGGAGCAGTGTGGGTCAAAATTACGCGAGTACTTCCCTGGAATTGGTTCAGAAAGGGTCAGGTGTTCCTTCGCGAAGCACCGAAGAACTTGTGGATCCTGCTAGGAAATCTAAGGTAGAAGGGTGTGATGGTAGAGTGGACGAAAACTGTAACAGAAAATCAAAATTTGATTTGGAACAACGGCCATTATCTGCGGTTTCATCCGCGTTCGATAAAGATGTTGATACTCTCGATAAGGATAACAATGTGGCTGCTGAAAGCAAAGAAAACGAAAATTCCAACCATGCAAAATCTAAATCAAGTTTTGAGAATGACCCTCACATTGGGATTGGACAATCTGAGGTGGGCCTTTTTGTGTTAGGAACGCCAGACGAGGGCAGTGGCAGTTTTGTAAAGGACAACAAAGTTTCTCCTGAAAGCTTTCAAAACCAAAAGCATTTTAATGGGGAATTGTGTGCGATTAGTAAGAATGAACCTGACATTGCTATGAGACAAACTACGATAAGTCCTGTTGTATCAGGTACATCAGAAGCAGACGATACTTGGGAAGAACAGGATGACAAAGTGCCAGCTAACAGCTTTGGCATGGGAGATCAAGTAAATGGAAAGTGTTTCTCCAATGTTCCGATTAAGACTGACACTGCGATGAATAAGTCTAAGGTTGGCCCGATTATTCGAAATAATGTAACAGGTGGATACCAGAGAAATATATCTGACTCAAGCTTAATTACAGAAGAGTTAGTTTCGCCGCAAAGTTTGCGTGAACTTGCAGATGATGGTTATTTTCATGCCAAGTTACTCCAGACTAACTCAGATATCGAAAACGAAGCAGAAACTTGTGTTAGTGTCGCTGCTTGTGGTAACCTTTCAACGTCTTCCCTTGTGGACAACGAAGACGTTAGTGCATGCGTAGAACAACAACAGAGGAAGGAATCTCGAAAGGCTTTGAAAAAGGTTGATTCTGAATGTCAAAAGGTTAGTCTAAGATGATTGTATGAATGTATTTAATGTTAAGCCACTTGGAAAGTCGAAGTGTAAACCGGGTTGATAAGTTGTTCTAGAGCCATGAAGAGCAACATTTTGTGATCAGAAGATTCAAATGTAAACATGGAAAATGAATTATAAAGGAGGGGGAAGTTTCTCATTTTTTTACGAGCGTTTTAGTACTTTGCATAGATCGGTATAATGCAGAACCCGTGAAATCATTTTATAGATCAGTTTTAATAAGTTTCATGATTTAATATGTAAGTGGGACTTGATGGTAAATGGTTTTTAAAGGTGAAGACAGTCAGTGGAGGAAAAAGAGACATCTTTCTTTAAAGAAATGTAAACCTTGACAGACGTTCGTTTAAGGATTACATCACATGTCGAAAAATCTGTATGAAGAGGAAATTGAGATGTAAATTTAATTTTTTTTTACAACAGAACATAGTCATATCTATTTAAATGCAGTGCGATGTAAGTTTTATTTAATTTTTTAGGTTTAATATTGTTTGATTCCCTTTAATAAATATTTTTCGACACCTGCGCTTTGTTTTGTTTGAAAGCTTGTTACGTAGTTTAGAGAGGAGAGTCTGAAAAGTGGCTCCGAATTTTAGAGTATTTATCGGGGAGACAGTGGTATTCAGAGGTTTGTTTAGCAGTGATATAAGTGACGTCACTCGTGAGCACTGAAGAAGGTTGCAATTGCAGTTGGAAGACCGGCGGTAGTGCTGTTGATGATGGGTTTCGTCGAAAAAGTCGTGCAGTTAGTGGTGATGATGTTACGGCTGAGAGTGTTTTTTTTCCTTTTTTGATTATGATGGTGACGATGAGGTTGTTATTGGCAACGGTGTAGATAATGGTAGTGATTTTAGCGACGGAAGTGACAACGAGGATAACAGTAATTGTGGTGGTGATGATGTGTTAGTGATGACGAAGACGATGACAACGACGAAGACGACGACGACGAAAACGAAGACGACGACGAAGATGACGACGATGAAGAAGACATTAACGAGACAATAACAGTTGTAATAACGAAGAGGTTTACGTTGGAGATTTAAATGGCGAGGAAGACTGGTGCAACTCTAATGGATCGAGGACGACGATGTAACTGAGGTAAACCACGACGAGGTTGCCAACAGCGATGAGGACGACAACCATGTTGCGTTTCTGATTGACAAAGCATTTCTTGACAGTCCTAACATACTAATATGTTACTTGTTAATTAGCACACAAGCGGTGATTTTGACAATAACTTTATGTTGGACAAGAATGATTATAATCCTTCCAGGTGAGAACTAATACTATTAACTAAGATATTTATAATCACGATAAAGATCTTAAAAGTAATGTTACTGATTTGGACTGTAGTGATGTGCGTGTGTGCGTTGCAAGGATCTTTCAGCTGCAAGACAGTTGTGTTTTCCCCCGCGTTTGATTGCACCTTTACCTACTTTTGTCACAGCTAGTTGTATGTCTTCCCTCGTTTTACACCAAGTGCATACTTTTTCTAGTCTTTTCTGTTCCTTCCTTTATTCCCAGCGTTTAACGCTGCTTACCTATTCTTCCATACTCTGCTGATGTGCTCTGAGCTGGAACTGGATTTTTGCCTTTGTTCCAATTATAAATATACTTTCACTCTTCTCTCAAGTTTCTTCCTTGGGTATCGATATTTTAGTTTGGAGCAATTTTAAAGCTTCTTTGAATTTATGTGTTTTGTTCGTCTGTTTTACATTGTAGCATTACCTTCATGAGATAAACATTCTTGAGCAGAGCATTAAAAGGTATGAGTCAAACTTATCTTCCGAGGGACCACTGGATAGAGCCAAAGCTGTTGGTGATACGGAGAGTGTACTAGTGAGGTAGGTTTGTCTGTTCATTACTCGTTGCCCTTCGCATAGGGTCTCGTCCAGAGTTTCTTTCAATTGGTCTCATAGCAATTTCCTATTATTTCGAAAGTGATCCGGGATTTATTTGGTTTTGCTTTCTTTCGTTTTGTGTTTGGTCCAGAAAACTCGCACCACTTTCGTAACAAATCAGATTCAAAGCTAAAACAAATCGCGACTTGTTCACTTGCGTTTTCCCGCACTTCCGGTAGTGTGCTTGTTTGTTCTACGAGTTTTCATTGGCTCCTGGTGATATTATCCATTTCATGATTGGCTGTTGTGATTGCTGTGATTTGGTTTCACGACACTCAGTTGAAAAGCGCTCGATGCATGTTTACGACGGAATACGCAATTTCACCCTAAGTCTTCTCCTTAAGGTGCAGATTGGTGAGTTCTCATTGGCTCCTGGTGATATTGTCCTTGCTGTGATTGGCTGTTGGGTTTACTTTTATTTTGATTTTACGACACTCAATCGTTAAATGCTCTATGAATGTTTACGATGGAATACGTAATATTCTCAAAACACTGAGATTAAAAGAATGTCTACTTGGAAACAAGCAGAAAGTGCCTAAGAATGACGAACATTTTAGTGCAAACGAGACGAGGCGATTTTCAGTAAATAGGGTCATCATGCATAAGGGCTTTCTACATAACACGATTAAAGATAGACAAATATTTGTATAACCTCATTTTCAAGTATTTAAAGCATTTTCAAATGTGCTTTCATTTCTTTCTGATGTTGTAGGATCAAAGAAGAAATGAATGCCATTCAGGAACTGCGTGTGATGATTGGTTCAGAACTCGAAAGAATGAAGTTTCTTCTTTCGGAACGCAGAAGGCTGTTGCTTGCAGGAGTTGCGAAGAGCCCAGTTTGTTTCGGTGTTTCTCAAAGGGTAAGGTTGTGTATTGACAGCTATTTTATTAGCCTTTGGACCCTGAGAGTGACCAGCATCTAATTTTTCAGACAGTCATACTGCTGAATCATTTATCATGGTCATGAGAAAAAGGGAAATGACCACCAACCCAAGAAGCTCTGATTGATAAACGAATTCTCCTTGTCAGTACCAGAGAAAATGTTTAGAGAACATTATGGAGAATACAGATACATATGTTAGGGTGTGAAGGATTAAGAAAATATACTCTCCTGAGGGAACCTGATTGAAATCGATAGGTGCAATCATAATTGGAGTGAGTGGATATTTGATCCCGAATTTAGCACCGGGCTATACAGGATTTATTTAGGGCTTTAACGGAGGAAGACTTCCTCTGAAATTCTTGACGAATTCTCCGTCACTTTGACACAGGAGTCCATTGCCAATTAAAAAAGGAGTGTTTTTTACCTTTACGTCTGGTAATGAAACCCTGGTGTGTGGCAATTTGAATAAAAGGCCACCGGCCAGCTCTTACGTATGGTATTGTTTATTATGCGGTGGTTCTAACTTTTAAGTCTGTGGATGAAACCCCTCAGAGCTTATGACCATTTTATTGAAAGCTTCTGAACAGTACTTTTACATGGTGCTTTTTAGGATATTGTACAAAACAATTGGTCTTGATTCTGCAAATCCTTGTGTGTAATGTCTAAAAGAGATTGATTGCACAGTATTGTCACGTGACACTTGGTATACTATCCTGGGGAGGACACTCAACTGTTCGGTCTACGAATAAAAACCTTATGATCATTGAAATAGAACTTCGGATCCTATCAGTGACAGCATTTTATGCTTTTTCGTTTTTAAGATGGCAGACCTTCTTCGGGAACAGTCGTCGTTAAATATTGGACTTTCGAACATTAACGATGAATTATCGATTCGAGAGAAGGCTTCACGACGGGCCAGGATATACGCGCAGATTGAAAGCATTAAGAAAGAGTTGAAAGAGGACAGGGAAAAGTGTATGAAGGAGTTTCGTGAAGAGGTAAGCGCTCTTGTGTTTTTACTCCCTGCGTGTTTAACTTTTATAGCCTGACACAGCAACGGGAATATATGTGATTTCTTTGTTGTTGAGACATCGAAGAAGAAGAAGATCGATTGCCGTGTGTCTAACTCAAGAATTTGCGAAATATTCAGAGAATTCTGAACAAAATTTCAAACTCAATTTTCTGTACAGGACGGTCTTCGATTGACTTACGTAAGACCAAAACCAGAGTAATAACTACGGCCATTCAGAGCGAAGTAAATCATTACTTGGAGCCAATGAGAGCTCAAATTGAAAACAAGCTTCGAACCAATGGTATCCGGTTTTACTTCCGACTCTCAGTTGGAAATTGCTCTCTTAAAAGCTACTTTCGTTTAAGCCATCGCCAAACTTGTTTATTTATTCTTATCACTGCATTACAATTCATACCACTGTATTCGGTTTTGTGAATATGATGTGCGTCAATACAAACAGTGTAAAAGCCCGCAAGGAAAGAAGAGATGAATCGATGAAAGCCGACCTTTGTATTTTTGATAGATAAAGGAAGGCCTCGTCCGCGAGTTGAGTGAAAAGTTTTCAACGGAGGTTGAGTTGCTTCGTCAAGAAGTTCGGGTAAGCATTGTTTCCAATGAGAATTCAATGACAAATTTAAGATAATGCTGTTTTCTTAAGGCGGCTGCAGCGATGTTTTATCAACTCATTACAAATCGTTTTATCTGTTCTGCTTTGTTGTTAGTCCAAAGACGCTGTGATCAAGCAGTTGATGAAGAATCACGAACAAGCAGATCTAAATCAAAATCTTGATCATCTGGAGCAGAGTTGAAGTCTAGAGGGAGGGTAGATTGAGGGAAGTTTTGTAAGCAGTTTCCTTTTTCAGACATCTTGTTTCATGTGCAGTATCATGTGCGGCGATGTGTTTGGTAAATTCATTTTTTGATGGTTTCACGATCTTGAGCATTGTTGAGTTCCGTGTTTCTTCCCATCAATACACTCAGATTTGTTGTTTTAGTGTTTTGTAATGGACAGTCCTTCGCGACAGTGCGTTTTCTTAGGAATTGTTTTCCGATTATATTTTGTGGTGGAATTTTACTTGTGGCAGGCCACAATAATCATGAATGAAATTATCCATTACATGCATTCATCCTAAGCTGTAAGTTTACATTCCAGTTTAGGATATGTGACATTTATCAACAACTGTTTGGTTGTAAACTAATTGTAAATGTGAGTGTAATATTTTGAAAAGGCGCGTATTGCCTAAATCAATTATAAATGCTTTAATACACATTCAAGACGTCCATAGAGCTGCTTATCTGTTTGCGATAGTAGTCTTCTTTTTTTGGAGCTTTGTCTTCTTTTCCTTCTAAGTATGAGTTCATTAAGATCAGTTATTGCGAGTTTTATTGGATCCATCCTCAACCTTCTTTCATTTATAAAACGAAACAGCGGTAGTCTAGTTCCCACGTCTTCCCAACTGAAAGTGGACGGGGAAAACAGGGAATGACCACAATACTGTCTCAGCAATTCCACACAACTTATTCCTATTCATGGTATAATTTTAATAGTGCTCTTATCAAATAATCAGCTACAAGTGAGTGAGAGTCCTTTGGAAGAGGTAAACCTTGAAACAGAAGAGAGCCTCGTGAGAATATAGCTCATTTTTCTTTAATTGTTTTTCGTTTATTGAGTTGAAATTTAAAACAATTTTCTTTTATAATTTAAGGTGCAAAAAATTATACTTCTGTAGTGAAAACAGAAGCACAGTCAATAACGTGAACGATTCGATCTTCCATGAATCATATAGCTGTATAGAAGAATTATATTCTTCCAGCGACGAAACAGGGTAATAAGATGAAAAAGATTGCCTTTTTTCAGCCATGAAATCTTTATATTGAAAAAAAATTGTGAAAATGCATTAGGTTGATTTCCACATAGTTTTCATAGTTATATGTACTTGTAATGTTAAATGAAATCAACACCAATCGGTACCCAGCATAGTCAAATATTTAAAGAAGATTGCGTTTACTGGACTAGAACTATCTTCCTTGCATGACCAATATGTCGTTAAAAACAAAAAAACAAAACAAAACAAAACAAAACAGAACAAAGAAAAAACAAATGAATTTGCACAGTGAGACCAGCCTTGTCCTCAGTAGTGCTGACATGTCAGACCCAACCTGAGGATTGTAAAACATGGAGATGTGAATAAAGGCTATAAGTTTTAAAAGAAACTGTGGTGTTGCGTCGGTGGGAGAGTATAACAAGGTAATTTTAGTGTTGAAAACGTAAATTGGCCACCGCAAAAGGTAAAATAGCTGACGTTTCGAGCGTTAGCCCTTTGTCAGAGCGATTTAGTATTACCTCATATAAGTGTCTTTCTACGTCGCGAAGGTGTTCTCGTAGAAAGAAATTACGTGGAAAGAAATAACAAGGACGCATCCCAACCAGTTGCTAAACACTTCAATCTCCCTAATCATTCTAAGCAGCATATGGCAGTCTGCGGCTTTTCCCTACATCTAGGCAGTTCGAAAAACTGTTCTAAAACGTAAATTTTTCTGGCAAATCGGCACTCTTAATTCCCACGGAATCAACGAACGCTTTTCATTCAGTTAATTTATTCTTGTTTTTCTTGTTACCTTGTCCGCACCAGTAGCGAAGTTCCATTTTCTGCATATAAACACATGCACAACCCACAATTCCTCCATTCGCTCTGACGAAGGGCTAAGCTCGAAAAGTCAGCTTTAAACCTCTTAACGGTGGCCAATTTACGTTATCAACTCAGTTAATAAAATACCAAATTATATTTTTAGGAGAAGCATTCTAAGTCAAGATTGATATTCGTTCTCACGTCTTTCTCCTCAACATCACTTTTTTTTCCCGTGGTTGACATTCTCACCCCGCTCGCTGAGAAGAAGAAAGTGACGAGTCATATGACTAGTCACATGTCTCACAGCTGATTAGTTACCTTGCTTTGAAATGGCCTTCAAATTACGTTTTCTGTTGTGAACACGAAAATGCTTTGAAAGGGTTGATCTGAAAAGTCAATATACACGACCATTATCATCACGTAACAAAAGCCAAGGACACCAAAGTGAATCTTCTGCATGATAGACTGTGCCAGTTTACCTTTCAGCGAATGCCATCCCACAGTCTGCACACCTGAAAGGTCGCTCCCCGGTGTGAGTGCGCATGTGCGTGGTGACAGAAGAGGACTGGGAGAAGCACTTTCCGCACACAGAGCATGCGTATGGTTTCTCTCCTGTGTGAGTTCGCACGTGTGTTATTAAGTTTGCTGATTGGGTGAAAGCTTTTGGACAGTGTGTACACTTGTACGGTTTTTCACCATTGTGTTTCCTCATGTGGACAATCAATGATGATTTACGAGAGAAATCTCTTTTGCAGATATTGCATCGCGGCTTCTCTCGTCTCGTCTCGCGTTGTTCTTTGGAGTTGATAGTTACCTTTGAATTCCAAATTTTTTAAACATGCATTATGTTTCGTAATTTTTTGTACCAGTGCATCGTATTATTACTGCTCATTCACTTTCTTGTAATCTGGTAACAGTGGTTAATAATGTACATGAAAAAATTTGCGTTTCTGATAGGCTGAAAACGAGTGCATTCTCATGTAACACGAGTGCAAATTACAAATAGGGCGCGCGCTTTCAAAATTCCGCCTCTTAACTATGTGTGATGTTTTTTCTTGTACATTATTAATGAGTAATAAAATGATATATTTTACAATTTGGTGTAATAAGCACTTGTAAATTTTCAAAGAGTAAAAATTGCACCTGCCCCACGGGCTCGTGAAATTTTACTGACTCTGAAAAATTTATGCGTGCTTACTTAAACCAAATCTCACTCGAAATCATGTTATTACCTATACCGATTTTCTATAGTTCAACACACTGTGTTGAAGAAACACAAGAATAACCGTGAAGAGTAGCAAAGCACGCGCTGGATATACGTTGAGAGGTGGTGTACTAATTTTATCACCTGAGAATTGATAAGCGATGCAGCTGCTGGACATGATTCATGGGGATACTGTAGATACAGCGGGTATTGAATTACACCAGTTGCGCATGCACTTATCAGAGGAGGTGAAGTTTTTCCTGACACGTCCCCTTCGTCCATATAGCGTCTTGATTGATTGGGGAAGCCCAAGTATGATGGAAGAGCCTGAATGAATCGTATCTTTGGATGATGCCTGGTGGTTTGGGAGGTAAAATGTACATACTTGAAACTCGAACAATGACATAATCTGAGAAAATGCTCACCTACCCCTCCCCCAACCCAAAATTAATCTTACGTTGTTATCAGTCGACTATCGTTGGGTTAGGGGAGGGGTAGTTGCGCAGTTGTTCAGATACTGACATTGATCCGAGAACCTCCACTGTTGGAATGGATTGTATTCTTTTTATCTTAAAGTTGACGGAAAGTTTATCGTTAATGTGCACTTTATTAGTTGAATTTTCGGCTTTTCCTGGTTGCCTTTCAGAAATTTTTGAGATGCAAAGGAATAATGTTTGATAAAAAAAAAATTGCTGCAACCGCTTTTCGGTTGTCACATACAAGTAAACTTAAGCATTATTAGCTGGTATTCTTGTTTAATTCTTTATGAAGTGTGTTTTTTTTCTTCAATTAATTTAAGGGACCATTGCATCAGTTAAGCAGTCTCTTATTCCAGCAGTTACCGGTTCCTTAAAAGAGTTCCCACCGTGCTTCGGATTCGCGTAATCATTATTAGGTTGCAAGCCTTGATTTCCGTCTCCTTTCAGCCCCCTCCCCTCACCCAAGAGGAAACTTTCCAACTTCCTATGTTACCTTTGTGCTCGACACAGGATCCCCCAAAAGAGTTAATAAACACGCATACATACCTATTGCTTGATAGAACTCTATTCGCTGGTATCTTGAACACTCCGGGTAACACTGCAGTGTTTGACTTGAAAGTGGAACAATTCTTCATGGGAAATCTTATCATTTTCTTTCGACGAAACTGTAACTGAAAATGTTATAGCATTAGGGGTGATTAAGAGACTGTTGCAATCTGATAGCACCTGAGTTTTTAAGAATATTGATTCAAAAAAAAACCTGTGCCGAGATTTCTGTCAAACTTTGCGTATGATTTGTTTATTTGATAAAATCGTAGCTATTTGAAAAACCCCAGAGTATACTTCCTTGAGATATCAGAACAGCCTTACGTAAGAGTGGAGGGTGTGTATAGCACAGGGTCACCAAGGATGGAGGATTCGAAGCTTTCTCGTCCGAGAAGCTAGCCCCTGTAAACTGTCATTACCATGCTAATGTTATCATTGTTGTTATCATTGTAAATACAATTATTTATTACCATTTAATTATTGGTTGAGTGTCAATGATTCACTATATTCTTGAACCACTTCTCTCTTGTGGAACAGGGTTCTCATAAATTTGTGGGATGCGGCAGGTTTTCTCTTTTACATGTGAGACATTTACTGTAACACTTCCTTCTAGCATTATTACAAAACCTCTAGTTCTTTTCAATACTGTAAAAATTGTGCAATATCAGTAGCCACATGTAGTTTTAAACCGCCTATTTATACTTTTTGCAGAAAGTGAGGTTGTTGAGCAATTACACACACACAAACCTTTGAAAAATATATCTTCGCCAGTATTGCGAGAACTTCTGACGAATTTCATGGGAAGTTGAGCACAGAAAGTCTCTGGTGGAAAGTTGTTTCTTTTTCAAACCTCATGGAGTACATTTTGAGCGCAAAAAGGATGTATGCGTTAAAGAAACTTTACTCCTTTTTCGTGATGGTCTCTTTCCAGAAACACTTTCACTTACCTTGAGTAACTGAGTGCGTGCCGCAGGCCAAGGAATTTCTTTAGAAAATCAGTTCCTCACGTCCTGGATAAAGGGGAGTTAATCCTTACACTCCCAAGTTTTATCATAAAGGAATTTCTCCTTACAGAATTTGTACTTCTACGCGACTTAATAGTCGTCCTACAGAATTTGTACTTTTACGAGCATGCAAGTAACGAGGAGAAAGAACATATGATCGAAGGGATATTGCTTGGTTAGAGACCAAATTTACAGGGTTGAAAAACCTAGAAATTTATAGCAAATGGTGCATTGAATTGATAAGAAGGTCTTTGGAGTGCGGCACCTTTTAATCACTCTTTACAGGTTTCATTTCTTTTCTGTTTTGAGTGTTTCCTTGGAGTTTTTCTCAAAACAACTTTTTTTGTTCATGCCAAGCAAAGTAATAACTAATGATTACTTAGGTGATCATTCCAAATGTGAATTAACGTGTTTATTTGACATATCTTAGTGCTATCAAAAACGTTCCTGAACTTTATGCTAGTCGAAACTTTTTTCCGTTGTCTCGGTAACTGGATAGGTTGTTGCAAATATTTTGTCAACATCCTTTGTCTCCTTGGTAACAATTCAATAACTACTTTAACTATTTTCCTCAAAAGTCGTCAAACGATTAGTGAAAACTCTGTGGTTCATATGTATTCCTACCTAATTACGCTCAAGATTGAACGCGGCAACGAAAATGACAAATTTTGCCTTTTCGCTCAGAATTACGAAAAGATCACTCGACAGCAAAAATGTAACACAAAGTAGTAAGATCTTCAAAGGGAATCTCTAAATCGATTTGAAAGGGTTGGGTAATGCTACATAGAAAACAAGAATATGAAAGAAAGTTTCGAAAATCTCCAGATGGCGAAAATATCTTCAAACATGGCTAACATAAGAGGCGAAAATGACAAAATGTCACCAAAAGGATCAATAAAGCCCCTTAAAAAACAGAAAAACTACGAAAATCACTAAAAAACCACGAGACCCTCAAGGAAAAATCACTCAACCAACACGCGACTTTTGCCATTGCTGAGACCAGAATGAACGCTGGGATTGGTCAGCCCTGTACCAGGTCACTCGAGGGGCATGTTGTTCCGCGCGGCCACGATCTTTGTTGTTGTTGTGTGAAATGCAGAGTCAAAAAGCTTCGCAAATTCTCTTAAAGGTGAATTTTAGCAATCATCTTTTTTTCGATGATGGGCGGTGTAGATCATTGATCCGTGTGAAAATGTAAAAATGACCGTAAACATCAGTACAAGGTACAGAATTTTAATAAAACCTATCATTCAGCAAGGTGAATCTATCGCCGGGTGTCGTAAATGCAAGCAATTCGTTGGTTTTTTGCTTCTGAACGGTCATTTATAGCACTCTTTTCACTAAAGAGATATATCTAGGTCATTTTTCTTTGCATGTTATTATTAGCTTCTGGTAACCGTTTATCTGGTAACCCCGACAAATTTGCATTTTGACTTTGAGCATGTTTTGCGATTTGTGTCTTGAATGTTTATTTCTGAGGAAAACCAAAGGAGTAAAGCAGTCATTAAAAATCAGGAAAAGTAAGGAAAAGCAGGCGGGATTTTGCATTAACCAAACGCTGATACAACTATGATTGAAGCTTAAAATGTCATGAAAAAAACGTTTTGCCGTGAAATGTAAATAAACATTTTCTTTAAATTTACGTAACTTTCAAGATATCTTTTTTGTTACATGTTCTCCTCGGCCCATCATGGAGTGAAAAAAGGTCTTCAAATATACACCTCTCAAAAAATTTTAGATGCTTTCGAGACCCTACAACAAAAAATATCAAGGCCGTGCGAAACGGGATGGAACGGAAAGTGTAATAACTTCTTACAGACTTCTGCACGAATCTTCTAAACCCACGAATTGAAAATAAAAGGTTTTCGTTAAAATCTTGTACCTTTCGAGATGTCTACGGTCATTTTCACATTCCCACACGGATCAATGATCTCCGCGGCCCAACTAGGGAAAGAAAAAAGGTTTGCTGACGTACAATATTCAGGGAATTTGCGAGGCTTTTTCGGCTCTGCATCTCACACGACAACGACAAAGATCTAAGCCGCGCGAAACAACAAGCTCCCTGCCCTAGTGCAGGGTTGGCCAATCCCAGCATTCATTTGGACGTAGTATTAGCAAAGTCGCGTATTAAAGAGGATGAAACAAGGTTCCATCGAGAACAGCCACATCTACCGACCAATGTATTTGTTTTCCAGCAATTGTATGGAACTCGGTTGTGTAGAATGGGACTTAACGAGCGCGGTTGCGTAGCGATGCTTATTGGGCACGGTTGCGTAGCTAAGTGAAATTTCTTCAAGTACGATACCATGAAGGTATACTATGAAGGTATCATGCCATAATTGATCACTAAATGTACAAAAACTCGGTCAGAAATGCTACCAACATTGATTTCGGGAGAGAAATATGGTTTAAAAGTTTTTGAAAGATTTTTCCTGGTTTTGTTTGAGTAGTTCCAATTTCAATGACCGTTATACAGGTGGAACGATACAAACAGGCCGTTAGGACTTGGTAAAGGGTGATCACGAGCGCTTAATGAAAGTGAAAATTACAACTACTATAGGGAAAAAATTTCGGGACTTTGACAAAAGACTGTTTAATACGGGGTTACCGCTGCCGCTCAATACAGGTTCGATTGTATTTTTTAAGATCTGTTGAATAGAAAAATACTTTTAATGGTTCGGTGTCACAGATTCTTAAATTCCCTATTTTTTTCCTAACTTCTTGAAAAATAAGTCGACACATTAGTAGTAATTGCTTTTCTATATCAGTAAAATCTATTGCCTAAAAATTGAAAAACCTAACGTAACAAATTTCTTTATTAACTTAGACTTTAAGAATTTTGAAGGGACAAGAGATACGATATTTACAACGAAGTTTATTGTAATATATTGAATTTCATAGTTTCTTTTTAAGGAGAGAGTTCTCTCGCAAACTAGTCAATAAAATTTGTTAATTGATTTTATAACCTTTATGTCTGCTTAATATGAAGAATAACCCATTAAATTACAAAAGTGTTAGTAAGAAAAGGAGGCTTGATTTAACATTTCGCAAGGGATAATTCATTATCTATCGGCTGCAGAGCTCGGAGGATTTGGTGAGGGTCTCAATGGGGTGACGGCTTTTACGGCTAACGGTTAAAATTTTGGCCAGTTTAAGGCTAACGCTTGATAACTGTCCATTGTGGTCACCAGAATTTTTTTGACGGATAACTTTTTTTAACGACAAACGATTAAAATTTGTTCATTTTAATTTTATGGCTATCAGTTAGTCCCATTTAGACCTTCTGTGGGGGGATCACATGGTTTTCAGAGGGGAGGGGAAGGGGAAGGGGAAAGGGGTCAGTTATCGTTAACATACAGAATATAAAGGGAAGGGGGGGACATAGAAAAGTGACTGTCAGGTCAATTTAATTTTGTGACACAACCAGAAACCCACTCCCACCCCGCGATGGATAATGACCAGTCCTCTAAATTTCCCTCCACCCCTGCCACCACCCTCAAAATCGTCAAAACAAATTATCACATTTGTTGTACAGAGGATGACAATTCGGTCAAAGTAGTATTCACTGAAACGCGGTTAAGAATATTACTTTTAAACAATTAAATAGCGGGTAACTGGTGTGGTACAGAGCGAGCTAAAAGCTACGTTAGAGCTTGCCAATCCCATTCATATGTTATGAAAAACAGTAAAGCTAAAATTCCGGTGGATTCTCCCTAAACAAGCGCATGAGTGGTTTTGGATTTTCCTTCTGTGTGGACACGGCGGTGTTTTGCAAGTGTTGACCTGTATGAGAGATAAAGATTGAAACGATGAAGATGTTTACTGAGTTCTCTGTCAAAGGCTTCACGTTCACTCATATTACATTCGATCACACATCACTCTTTCACAATTGGGCTCCATGTCACAAGCTTCACACTGGGAGCATCGCGTTTCGCGCATCCTGTCTCGTGTTTCACGCATCCTGTCTTGTGTTTCACGCACCATGCACTGTTTAAGGTTTCACGTTTACCTATCACGCATATCACTCACATTTCGATCACACATTACTTTTCACGATTGTGTCACACGCTTCACACCGTGCCCATCGCGTCTCCCCATCCATACGTGTGTTTAACGCACCACGAATTCTATATTACACACACCAAATAATTTTAAAACCGCTTCCCACTATTTTAACCGTATTGCAAAACATTTCCAATGAAACAAGTTCCTCCCTCAGAAAAATTACTCTAACTATTGATCAAATGAAACCGCAAGAAAAAGTAGCCGATCTAATAAGAAAGAAAACCAGAAAATGAGTCTCATTATTTAATAACTAGGAAATAGCAGTCATTACATACCTGTCTGTAAAGCGTTTGCTGCATCTTTCGCATTTAAACGGTCTTTCACCAGTGTGTGTCCTCATATGGGTCTGCAGGGAATTGGACTGAGAAAAACCCTTCTTACATACGGTGCATTTGAAAGGTCGTTCCCCCGTGTGCGTGCGCAAATGGACAGTCAGATTACCAGATTGATTGAAGGCTCGCGGGCAGAAGAGACACTTGTATGGTTTTTCTCCACTGTGAATACGCATGTGGACTTTCAGTGCGGACGGACGCAGAAACATTCTTTGGCATTCTCGGCACGTTAGTCTCTTATCTCTTTTGGTATTTTCACCCTTAGCCTTCTTAGCCAGCGGTTGTGTTTTTACCACGGAAGATACTCCAGGGATATATGGAGAGAACCCAGGTTCGTAACTGTAGTGGAACGGGTTTACGCAAGGGGAATACGCTGGATGGTGATCATAGTGCTGATGATGCATCCCAAAAATGGGAATCTCTCTCTGACTTACGTTGGGAATTTCTGAGAATACTTGCCATTGATCGAGTACCGGTGTGCTATTGACAAAAAGTATGTTTCAAGTTTTAACCCTGTAACTTCTAAGAGTGATTAGCATCTAATCTTTCACCCCAAAATCAAACATTCATTCAGGGGCTTATCTACCTTTTGGACTTGTTGACCTTCTTGAGAGATCTGGAAGCTTGGTAGCCTAATGTTTTAACATTGCGAGATTTATTCTTACTGCTTTTTTGTTATTTAGTAACTCGAAGAAATATCGGAAAGAAAGTCCAATTTTTGTTTCAACCTTTGCAAGAGTTGATAACTCAAAAGTCAAGCGTGCGGCAAAAATTGAAGGCCCAGACCGGCGCGGCTATGGCTGGCGATGTCTAGGTGATTAGTCAAAATCGTGGGACTCCGCACGTTAGCCTTGGTTTATTGCTATTTCTGTGTTTTGATTGGTTCACAGGCAATATTATCTGAGCTCATATCCCTTTCTTGTGTTAACTTTCTCACAGCAGTACAAACAAAACATTTTTTCTGTTTAAAGCAGAAATTGTGATCTTGGTTGTTTTCATTGAATCAATCATCATTGCATTTCTCTCGCGGTTGGCTATAAGCACGTAAACGTTTTGAAATACCTGTGGCCAACAAAAAAATGGGATTTAATTTTTCTGTTACCCACCTCATTTTCTTCACGAGTTTATCGAATATTTGTTGAATATACGTTGCTTTATGTTCGAATGAAAAGTGGCTTGTAATTTGTATATATTTCAACTTTTCACTAAGGAATTTACTTAGCAATGTTCAAGATCAGCGCAGACCTCACAAGGTTAATTTCATAAAAAGTGTTTTTATTCTAAAAACGCATGAAAATTTTTACTGTCCATATGACGCTCGACTGCCAACATCTGACATTGATATGCAGTCATGTCAACAGTGACGTCAGCGTTTTCGAAAAGCTCCGGTTCTGAAGCGAATTTTTGCGATCGGTTGACCTAAACACAGAAATACAGTAGACTTGTTGTCAAAATCGGAGGACAACTCCTCTGAATTTGCGTTTTCACACGTCTCTAGTGTAATGTAAGCAGTAGCTCACTGAAAACAACTAAACACCAGTATTCGGCTTACCTTTCTCCTCTGTTCCTGTTAGAACCACTGAATCCACTCTTATAATAAAACGTCGATGTGTCCATTGATCTCTCATCGAAAGTTTCCATTATTCTCTAAGAGGAGTGCACTAATAAAGATATAACAAAAATATAAACAATATAATGGAATAGGACGTGACAGTATTTTTCAAATCGTTCTTTTTAATTTGCCTTCATTTCAAGTTGACTGTTGTCTGATCTAAATCGATTTTCGTTGTTTAAAGTTGTGATAGATAGTTATCTGTTCCTTTTGAATTTTAAAACTTTCCGTACCAATTGTGATCATTGTTATTTCAATCAATGTTTGTTTGCTTGTTCGGTTGGTTTAGCTAAAACAGACTTCGTTGTTTTTCACTGTTAAGTTAGCGTTTGCAGCTATTATTTTACAAAGTTTTGTCATATTTCTCTTCCACTAGCCATCAATTTTGTTTGCTGCATATATCTCGTGAAACTGTTAATCTTTACTGTTTTAATGTATCGATCATCATTGTTGAATATTCCTTTAACTTGCTTTAAGGTAAAGAATAACGGGGAGGTAAGTAATCTCTTCAGATAGAATAGTTTTGAACGTCTATCATGATGGTTTTAGCTAAAAACTGTCAATAAAAGTTACTCACATTTCGTCGACTTCAGAGGGAATGATATTCCCATGGAGAAAGTTGCGGTTTCTTTATAAATGTTAAACAAGAATTGGAAGCCTTTAATGGGTGACGATTCCAGTACACGCCCTACCACGCCCAGTACAAATTGGAACTTTCTTTTACTAAATTGTGCAATAAGTTTCCAAATCACGAACCAATCACCAATTCTCAGCTATATTAAACCAATGGGGTTTATGTGACAGTAAAGGGATTGAGAGGTAATTTAGTGTTAACAACTGGGTTGAAAACGTAAATTAGCCACCGTAAAGGGTAAAAAAGCTGACGTTTCGAGCGTTAGCCCTTCGTCAGAGCGATTGAAGGGATTGAGAGATCAGTACAATGTCGAGTTATAGGCGGGGTGACTTCAAAGAATGCCGCTGGAATATTAATTTCCAGGCATCGACGTTTTGTCATGTATCTCACTTAAAAAGTGATTTTAATTATTTTCTAAACGTTTTGAAACGAAATGAAAACTGCCTCTCGCTTCCAAACGCTCGTTCTTACGAACGTGAATATTTCACTACAACCAAGAGGATATAAACCGCAGTTGATATTTTCATTCTCGTAACTAAAACGAGAAACTGCGAAACCATGATAACAAGGGATTGAAGGAGAAAATCTGCATTTTTCCCCAATCTCGAAATTTCTACCCAACTTTCGTTCAAAAACCACCTTTTTTCAAGTTATTTTTGCATCTGAAATATAAAATCTTCAACTTTTTGAACTGTTTCTCTGACGAAAAGTCCCTGCAGAGCACATACTTGCGGTAAGTATATATGACAGGTTTGAGGGATGCAAAAGATCCTCTTACTCAAGTATTGGACTTTCGATATTTAAGGTTATACTCGAGCTTACCTATATGATTTAGGCAAGGTCATTTTTCACTTCATTTCTGAACTAAACGGCGAGACGGATAATTTTTTTAAAAAATATTTTTCGTTACCGCGATGTCATATTCTCAGTGGGAAAAGAGCAAATATGGGTTATTTCGTTGAAATTCACAGGATAAAAGTTAACGGCGAAAGAAAAGGCTAGTATTTATTAGGTCATATGCGTAACCATAGGAACAGTATTTTATCATAATGTTCAATAATTTAACGTACATGATGGTATATTGCTACTGTTATTTCGATGAAGTGTCGAAGCAAAACAAGATTGTATAAGGTTTACCTATCTTCGCTCTTCTTTTATTGGTCTAAAAAGCTATCACTAAACTAAACACCAGTTGGATATAAAGCAAAGCGAGGTATCCTATATAAGCTATGTCGCCGGCAAGTAACACGAAAAGAAGATAATTAGTAACCTCGTGAACGAAAGTCAGTCTTCGAAACGCGCACGTAAATGTTACCCTCGCTCTGATACTCTGAGCAGAAGTAACATAATAGCAGACAATGAAAAGAATCAAGAATTTCCGATGACAAAGACTTCAGAAAAAAGGGGAACATGATTCCTTGAGCGTTGATTCACAGTGCCGACTTCCGAGGAAACAGACTTCCGTTTCCTTCTAAGAAAAACATTAATTACTATAGAATCTGCATATCGCAGCTAACATGCTAATTGTTCGTCTCTGCGCCCTTATTTTCTCTTCGATAACGATGGCAAAGGAGTCACTTCGTACTTTCAGGGACGGATCTTCATCTCCGATTTTGTCAAGAAATAGTCGTAGCCTTTCCAAGTATGCCAGGTTATTCCAGCTGCATAATGTTCTGAGGTCTTATCACTTCCGTTGAGATAGAGCCCATTAAGACTTGCCTTATGACACACTCCGTGCCACCAACCGCTCTTGTACAGTTTGGCGCAGTGGCCAGCACCATATTTATCGTTGTCTTGATCTGGTGTTGAGAATTTGTTGCCACTTTCAAAAGAGAACGAATCACCAGCATCGCCGTCTGTGAGAGGAAAACAATTTAAAGCAAGGAAGGACTTAGAATATTTAATAAATACAGATTGATCATTTTGTCAAGCTTACGCATGCGTTCTTCGTGCCCATGGCGACAAGTATTGAGTAATTTTTAAAACACTCATATCACGCAAAAGCCTTCATAACATATCACTCTAAACTCACGCAAAACTTTTACGAAATGGTTGTGGGAATGCGTTACGCATATGTCACGTACGTGCGCTCTGTTCTAACACACAAAAGCTTTTTCACCTGTGTATGTTCCACTGGTCATCAAAAACTTCTGGTCAGCGCCTGCCACCGTAAATCCTTTATAAACAGCAAATCTGTTCGTTCCATCCGGGGCTCCCAAGTCGAATCTTAACGTGACGGGATTTTTCGCCAGTCGGTGAATTCTGTCCAATCCCAGCCAGAACTCTCCCGATACGTTACCGAATCCATTCTTGTATTCCACCCACGTCCGGTTGCTAAACCAAACCGAGCCGTCAAAACGCTTTTGGAGCACGGTCCAGCCCCCTTCCGCTGTTGTTTGGTCGCAGTAGACCGGAAACGAGCCCATGCCGTCTTCAGGGTTTATGGTATAAATACCACTGACCTTAAAACCTGCATTGTACAGCGCGGTGCAATTGGAGTATGTTACTGAAATGAGAATGAGTAATTATGTTATTTTCAGAAGAGAGGATAATTAAGCTCAGAAATGGACCCAACCAAAATAAGCTTTGCTCAAAACACGATCAAGCTGATTGGGGATTAAAATTTTTATCCACTTTCGCGATCCTGCGGTTGTAAATCTTTTTGTGCCTGACAAAAAGTGAAAAAAGAATCCCACAGGTCTGATGTGTGTTTCAGTTGCACGCGCAATGCGTAGTATTGCACGCGCATCACGCGTGTGTTAATGCTGCGGTGCTTGGAAGCGGTACTGTATGACCTGAAATTTGTTATTGGCGTCATTTGATTGGCTTTTTTAGCGGGAAGTTAAGGGTATATATTGCGAAATTAATTTTGCTAACCTTGTTGCGTTGGAGTTGGAGACGAAGTTTGAATCGGAGCCAAGGTCGAGGATGCACTTGGAACGATCACGTGGCCATATCCTCCCCCGAAGCTACAGTTTTCAAGTCTGTTCTGCACAGCGGTTAGTTGTTCACTCATGTTCATAACTTGAGCCCACAGTTTGGCGAGGTGATTGGTTTGGTCGAAAATGGCTGGGACAAAGCGCGTGTTATTGAGTATCTTGTTCAGTTGGTTGTTATCTGGTGAAAAAAAGCATCGGAATTAAATCATGAGCTACCGTTAGTCTAACTGCAATTACAGAGTAGTATAATGTAGTCTCTTGCATCTTACCCTCACCTCCCTCGAGCTTTTTATCTGGTTTCATCGCACAGCTCACTGATACCCATGACCGAAACTCTGGAAGGTGAGAGGCATTGTGAGAGGCATTGTGAGAGGGAAGAACTTAACTAAAGAGTGGTCTGTGCATTAACCCTAATCAGTACTCGAACCCAGATCACTCAAAGCAGAGTTCAGCGCACCAGGCTACCCACAAGACCATCGTATCGCTCCTCCCACATCTGACCAATAATGGTGAGAGTCAGTCATCTCGAATATATTTTTATTCCTCTCATACTGATGGGAATTTAATTTGGTCTTTAAAAACACTCATTATGTCCGCGATTTACCAATGCATTGATGAGGTGGTAGATGTGAAATTGTAGATGACACCTGGACAAATTGAGTCGGCGATGGACACACAGTGATGGTCTTTGTTGATTGAGCTGTTGAAACAGGACTTGTCTGACACTTGGGATCTAGCAAATAAAATCAAAGGAAAGAAAAATAATATGTCAAAAAAAAAACTTCGGCGCCGCATAGATTCAGGTATTCCTTGTATAAAGCTGAGAACATCATTACACTTGATGGACACCGTCGTATGGATTTTTTTCGGTTTCTAATCTTTGTTTTGTTGCTCTGATATCCAGCCTTAACAAAAGTAGACTATATTTATTAAGAAGTCTGATTCTGCACGCGGGGAAACGTTTTATAAAATTTTCAAATGGCAGTTACGAAAAAAAACCAAAGGAAAACAACAACCGAAACACAAGAACATTAAGCTGTTTATATAAGAATGGAACTTATTTTCTATTCAACCCTAGGACGTATCATTATTTATCAGCTTGGGGGGAAGGGGAAGAGTCGGTGGAATTTTGAGGTGATATCATGGTTTCCAGTGGAAATGGAGGAGATCAGTCGTCGCTAACAGAGTATACAACGGGGGGCTTAGAAAATTGACTACTAATACGATCAACAAGGGGGGATCATTAGAATAGAACAGGGGGAAACTAAGTAAATTTCATCGTGACAATACCAAAATCCTCTGAGTCTCCCCCGCTTACTTCCCCAAACGAAAGACCCCTAAAGGGAGAAGAGAGAACTGTTATTTACCGTTTTCATCAGTACAAACGTAGACTTTCATTCTCATGTTATGCGTTGCACACCTCCCCCCTGAGGTCTGCTCCAGAGACCATCCATGGCCATTAGATGTGGCTGAAAATTTAAACAAAAACCGTTCAGTCACTTGAAGCAACACTTTGCTTCAACCAAAAGCAGTAGTTTAATGGTGAAATGATATTAAGGGTAAATATTGTGCATATGTACAGTTCTTCTGAACCATGGCAAATCATTGGAAATGCATCATGCAAATTATTTGCCCTTCATTGACTCTTCCCGTCATTAATTCCTTCCACTCTGTCTGTTTCAAACCACTGTGGGGTTGGAATCAAATGAGTTGCGCGGAATGGAGCGTTATTTATTATTTTTTTTTAAAAAAAGAAGCAAAATAGCTTTGCTTACCGATGAAATAGTACTCCTTCCCAGGCTCAAACTCCAACCCATCTGCGCCTACTGCGCTATACCGCTGAAATACTACCGTGAAGTAACGCAGTTGCAGCGGAGAGTCACACTTCATTAAAACTCTGTTTTGAGGTTTAGTAGTTTCTATTACGCATGTCTCGTATGCCTGTTCATCAACTATCCATAGATTCTCATACATTTTTTCCAGAGGAATGCTTCCCTCGACCGCTATCGGGATCATTGCGGGATTCGGGCACACAATCTTCACTTTACTCATTGGTAGAACTGCGAAAGAAAAGTTGTTTTGAAATCTGTGGAAAACAAACAGCAGAAATTAATGAAAATAAGAATAAAATAGAACAATCCAGAAAATCAATTCTATCTGTAAAGTTTGGTTTCCTGTCAATTGCTTCCACCGATCAAGGTAGAAGAGACTAGCCATTATCGATCTCCTAGGGGGAGAGGGGAAGGGGGAGGGGGGAGCGGGGAGCGGGGAGCGGAGGGGGAATCGGGGGATTTCGGAAGGGGCAACTGCCAATAAGGGGGATAATTTGAATACAGCAGAGCTTAATGGACGATCAGGTAAATTACATTGTGGCATAACCAATATCTTCTTATCTCCTCCGCAAGGCGATTGATCGTGATTCCTGAAGAAAGTGTTCTTCGTTAATTGCGGGCTGAAAAAAAAAATACACTGAAGAAATTGATAAATTGCGTTATTCAAGCTCTTCTTCTTGAAAGGAGCTGTATTTGCGCGGTATTGAATTTCCTTCGGCTTATTGCACCAACGTGGTAAGAGAAAACTCTGTTTGAATTGCCAGCCATCATGTGCATTCACTTTGAGTCAGAACAAACGTAACAGCTGTAGGAGGTAGCAACTTGAATACGAGATAAGGATAATAAAAACTTGTCTTTTCAGTTTATAAAAGTGTTTTGAATAATTCTGCCTCAGGGGATGAACTGTACTGTTAAAGGTTACAATAGGTACGAATCAGATTATAGTTTCTTGGAGCGAGTGTAACATTCATGCTCATTTTCAAGTTAATTTTTTTTTTTTGCGGTGTAAGATAAAATACTCATAGAAGTCCTATTGTAAAACGGCAATATGGACGTTTTATAGCGACCGTGCAGGCAATAACCCTTTAAGCAAAAGGGTAAGCATAAAACTTGTATTTTGCCAGATTTGTCTAATAACCACTTACATTGGGTTAAGATCCGTCCATTCTACCGATGGATAAACTTTGTGCAGCTGCGATTCCGCAAACAGTAAATGTAAATGTAGAATTAAAACACGGCGAAGAATACTCATGATACTCCGATAAAAAGAACTAAATGATTATTAAGCAGGCGTTTTGTTCGGGTTAATTTGCGTGACGTGTTTTACACGGAGGTGCGACCTACGAAGCCGCGTTCTTATCGAAGCGGTTTTAAGTGGCTGGTAACAACAAGTATCGATTCGGAAATTTTCAAAGTTAATTCTCTAGTGTTTTATGATTTCCTTTGGAAAAATCGTGCATCTCACGCGCAGTATACTCTTCCATACGTACTTCTGTTGTAAATCAGCAATTAGAGCAATTGTGTTCAAGATGAAAATGAATATTATTGTTTATTTTCATTTCGGTATAAATGATTAGAATTGAAATATCTTTTCCCTCTCTATATGGATAAGGAAAATCTTCAAAGAAATTTTGCGCGAGAGGTTATACAAAGTAATAGAAGAAACTGCCATAAAATGAATATGTCTAATACATTGGTTTCAATATGAATACTGCATTCAATCAGATCATCTTTTTTACATAGAGAGGGGGGAAGTTTCTAAAGAAACTGTGGTGCTGCGTCGGTGGGGGTATTAAGAGATCCTTTGGTTCTATCAAATGAGTTGATAATATTATTTGGCCCCCGTAGAGAGCTTCTAAGGCTGACGTTTTGAGACACCATTAGCCCGTCGAAAAAGCGATCAGTTAATAAAAACAAATTATCTTTTTCGAAGCTAATTTTAAATCAGGAGAGTAACAATGATAATCACATCATTTGACACGAGTAATGAAAAACCATGCTGAAGAAATCCTTAGGTTTGACTGAGCATAGCTTAATTTTTTCTTTTCCTCTATGTTTTTACGACTTATAGTGAAAACATACCACAAGTTGAAGGCTCGTATGGTGGGTAAAGGCGGGCAAATATTACCTCCAATTGTTTATAACTGAGACCATTTTTAAGGCGTACTGATTCGGTTCGTTTGCGGAGTTTATTGCGTTAATTTCTGTTTAGATCAAATTCAAATGGCGTCGACCAAATATCTGTACATTGTTTACATCAAGGCGCGGGGGTAACAATTATTGATAGTTATTACAGAAGGGGGTAACTTTTTCAAGTTACTGCGGTATTGCATCGGTTGGAGTAATGCAAGATAGTTTGGTTCCATCAACTGAGTTGTTAATGTAATTTGACCACCACAGCTGAACTTTTGATCGTTGGTCCTTCGTCAGAACTCTGACAATGAGCTAACGTTCGAATCTTTACAATAATTATCATGATATCTGCCTTGCTATTGTCATGTGTACCCGCGGCGAGCTCTGTTGCTTCGCAGGAAATTATATGTTGGCATTCTTTGGCATTTTGTCAACTATCGCACAGAGCTATAAATTTGTTTAAATCTCGACTCAAATCTTTTTTAATTCTTGAATGGATGCGCCCAGTCGTGGCAGTGCTACCTACAATGTGTTCTTAATTGGGTTGGCGTCCTTAAGAGCAAGATTAAATTATTTCAGATAACCTACTAAATCTTTCTTATGTGAAAAATGCACAAGAACTGAAAGGGTAACCAAAGAATCACAAATCGTGACAACCGCACGTTTTTTTATATAAACTTTGTTATGAACAAACATACCTCCAGCAAACTATTGAGTACCACAAAATCCGTTATGAATTCTAGTGAATCTTTGCAAATGTTTCCACACTTTGACAAGCACTACTCAGTTCTAACGTTAGAAGACATTTCTTTATCGAAAAGTTCTTTAGATTATTGCCAACAAGTTGAAGTTCCTGAGAACATTTAATTCGAATATATGGCCTACCCTAACAAAGCTTAAACCACGTAATTAAGATCAAATAAACTGCATGATGCAACTTACGCTGGGTTGTGTGAGTCCCACAAGATCGAAGGATTGTTCCAAAAGGCTTGGACAAGAAACAGGCCACATCCAAATAAAATGAATGTGATCTGAAAGAGTTTTAGTTTGGGGAAATTTTCCATTTCCACTTGCCTATTAAGATGCCGTGTTCCTCTCTGATCAGTGTGCTCAGAAAACGTCTTTCAATTTCACGAGATTTAATTTTAATAACAAAGAATTCACGACGGTCTAATATCAATATGTTATGCGCAATGTATACACTGATCATCGGATTAGTGCAAACAAGTTACTTTGATGAATTCATTATTTTCCTGTTCGCTACATAAACAAACAGGTTTGCAAACAGACAACCTTTCTGTTGTTATTTAAGAGGGCAGTCATTGCTTATCGCCTGTGAGATCGGAGGATTTTGGGGGGATCATATGGTTTTCAGGGGTGTGTGAACTAGACAAACATACTATCAGTCTAACTTGTGCACTCTGGGAAAAAATTCGTTTTGTGAGGGTGGCAAATAGAAAAGAAAACACCGAAGATCGCGTTAGGACAGTCTGGTCTCTTTCTTCCCCTTATAAAATTTCTTCGCAAATTTAGAAACCTTTTAATCAAAATCTTTGGACGTTGAGGAACAAAAGAGAAAGAAAGGAGAAATTCTAACTTGCGGCCGATGGATTCCCGCGGGTATCGGGATAGGTCCTTCTCGAGTACCAGTCTCTCGCGTTTATTCGCGAGAAGCCTGGTTGATTCAGGCGGAAACTCTTTGTATTTAGGGTTTTAATCTGGTCCTGTTTCCGCAAAAGATCTCAGAAAAGATCTCCTAAGTTCCACTACTAAAGCTACCATGCCAAGGCGATCTTCAAGCATCAGGAATTACAGACAGAGTTGACAACAACGAGCGAATTACTCTGGAAGACCTCTGCAACACCTGCTGGCTGCGATAACATTCTTATTTCATGACCGTCAACACCTGTGCAGCAAGCACTGATAGCAGAATCTTACTTTTGGGCGAGGACGATAACCTTTGAGAGGCAAAACAGGTGAGCGTAAGGAAAACTCTTAACTTGTATTCCGCTTCGTAGAGAAGAGAAGTTCTGATGTAAACATGTGATTGCATACACCATTGTTAAAAAGATTTTGTTTACATCACGATCTTACTGTTACTGTATGCGTGCTGTACCTCTCCGAGGTCAAAGAATGTGAAGCATTTTTTCTCACTTTTTTTATCAAGCCGGGCTTGCCTTCTTGTTGCCCGCATTCAAGAAGAAATTGCGGTTTATCCTCAGTGTATTTTTGGGGAATGAATAATGTTATTTTTTTTATTTAAAAGTCTTTAATTTTAATGATAAGACTTGATCGAAGAGACTCTTATTTGATATTATAAGTATAATGCTAGGTAATTCTTGAAGCTAGCTCTGGTCCTTGCCAGCTAAAAACAAAATAAGTTGTTCTGTTGTTTTCTCAAGGGGATTAAATGTCCTATAGTAAAGATCTTTTAGGATTGATCAGCTAGCTGGGAACCATTCTTTGTGAAATTTGCATCAAAGATAAGTTAATGTCAACACACCCTAAAAAGTTGACGTGTCCCAGGTGAAATTATTAGGGAAAGCTTACAAGGCTCCAAACCATGTGCCTTTTGAAGTAGTGTCTTGGCAATCTAGAGTTATGAAATGGTCACAATTAAAAAAAGAGGGAGTGAAAAGAAAACATTAATCACCAAAGAAAAAAAGTGCTATGTTGCATGACATGGCTGGAAATTGTTTATTGAAATTCTAGCAATAGCTAATACAACTGAAGACAAATTGTGGCAAATTCTTTATAAAGAAAATTTAAGGGTATCTGCAGTAATGTTGTAGGCAAATGTTCATGTATTTAAAATTTGACCACAAACACTACGCTCAATTTAGATCGCTAAATTGACAACTTTCTCGGTAAATGTACTGCCCAAAAATATGTCCTACCAAAACTGTAGCAGCTGGGAGCACTGGTTTAAGATCTCATGTTTGAAATAATGTTTGAAATAATTATTATTTTTCACTCATTGAGTAGAACTGTGTGTTAAGTTCCTACTACATAGTTGGCAGGTTCATCAAAAGGTGCATTTTTGATCATAGCCGGAGCTCACTAGACAGGCTAACAATTATATTTTTATAAACAAATTTGATGAAATATCCTTTTTTCTCCTCTTTTGAATCAAGCAGTGACTTTCTTCACGTATATAAACTGTTTCCATTCTTGTCCATGGAAAATAGCAGATTGCCTCAAGATGTTACAGAACAGTTCCTAAAAATAATTCTGAAAATTTTTCATTGAGCCATGACTTCCCCATGTATATAAACTGTTTCCCAGAGTTAGAAAAATTGATTGAAATGTGAATTTAATTGTAGCAGTTCTTAGGAAAATGAAATAGAATTTATCCTAGTTTCAAAGCATTTAATTCTTTTCTTTTTATTGGCATTAAAATCTATCACATGACCTGCCAATAGCTGCCTACAAATAATGATCTGTTCCTGCAAAATGTCATTTAACTGAATTTTGTTTCTGATTTCTGCTCATGGGTAGCTGTGTCCATGCTTGTCTGTGGAAAATAGCAGGTTGCCTGAAAATGTTAATGAGCAGTTCCTTAGAAAATAATTCTAAAAAGTAAATTCAATGATCAAAATGTCAAAACAATTATTATAATTGAACTTGGCTGTGGCAAAATATTATAATTTGCCAGTGTCTCCATGATTATGACTATTTCCCACAGCCTTTGGAATCTGCAACTAATTGAATTGCATGAAATTTTTTTAAACCTTGTTATTATAAATGATTGCTAACCCTTCAACTCCCAAGATCTTACTGTTAACTCTTCACTATAGCTGTGACACATTTCCATGGTGTTAGATCAAGATAACAACTTCTACCTGATAAGTTTGAATTTTCTTATTACCTCTATGGTGGACAATGTATGGATATTATGGGGAGAAGTTACATTTTAATAACTTCTGAGAGTTAAAGGCTAATAAAACTTGATGTGCAATATTAACGCATTCATCTCCAGAAATGAACACCGAAAAAAAGGGAAATTCTACCATTGCTTAAGTTTGTTTCAGATAATTATTTCATTATAATGGCTTAATTCAGCTGATTGACCCTTACACCCCTAGAGTGACTAGCATCTAATTTCTCCTTACAATATCACCTCTGAATCACACATTAAGGTCATGGGAATAAAAGAAATGATCTCCAACTGAAGAACCTCTTGATTGTGAAACAAATTCTCCTTGTCAGCACCTTACGGAATGTGCAGAGATCATTATGGAGAATATGCAATCCATACTGATGTAAGTTTCTTATTTTATTTTAGATCAAGTTTACAAACATACCTGGCAACTTTCAGTTTATTGTGGCATCAGTTTACTGGGTAAGTGATTTAAATGTTGGCTTTTGTATACTGATTGCTTAATGTTTATAGATTTGAGGAAAATATAGCCATATACATTAGTAAAATGAATGAGGAATACTTTTTGCTTGGGTCATGTTACATATGGCTTTTGTTCTTATTTATTACTTTAGACATGCAGAAAGTAACTTTCAGTTGAGTGTCAGTTGCCATTCTATCTGATATTCATGGCACTAGTGCTCAGTCTTTTGATTGGTGTTTTAAGAAATTGGTTTGTTTTTAATATTTAAAAAATAATTGATTTGTGTTTTCAATTGGTAAATTCACTTGTGTCTTGGGAAAACTTCTTTGTGTTTTGGTACATGAAACTGGTTTTGTGTTTGGTCCTTTTGGGCTACCATAGAAAAATTTTCAAATCAGGAGAAGCGATCAAAGCTATAACAGCATTTTATCTACAAGTGAAGCCTCAGGGTCAATCATCACTCTTCATCTGTAGTGCAGTCACCCATGATGTAATTGATATTCAGTTTGTGACCTGATTCCTTTATGGTCAACAAAGAACTCAATCGCAATGAAATTTGCCTCTCCCTCAATATCAAAGATTTTCAAAGGAAGGTTACCTGTGAAGATCATTCTTTGCATTTTTTTTTTTGGTGGTTGGCTTTTTCTGAATTTTTTTAAAATAATCATTAGTCTAATGATCATAATCTGAAATTAAATCGTGTGCTCCTCCAATCATTCTTGTTTTTGACTAATTCCTTCCCCCTCCCTGTTGGAGGAGAACAGCATTTTGGTTGGGGAGAAATTCAACCAAGACCCTCAAACTCTGACCCTATAAAGACCTTGAAAACCACACTTTGTTTGGCAGTACAAATAACCCCCCACCTCCCCTCCCTTCCCACCTCTTTGGTCAAGGAGAGGAATATTGTTCTGGTAACGCAACGGACTCGGGCACTATCATGTCACGTTACTTGACGTAATGTGCATGTAACTTAACGCTACCTCATGCAACGTTGTGTAACGCAACGTGGTGTAACGCAACGTGGTGTCAGTGCAACGTGAATTCATGAGTTCATTAGACATTTTTGGCTTTTTTAGCTTCATTTACGGAAGACTTCGATAAAGAAATGACTGAACACACGGATTCAACTGAGCACGATGCTTTAGCTTCGGTAAATGCAGATTTTGTGAACAGTTTATTGAATGTAAAGCGGGAGAGAGATAAAGCGATATCCAATGAGGTGAGATCGCAGGTGCAAAACGAGTGCAAAGCTTTTGGCGGCGAGGAGTTGGCGAAACAGAAATGGGACGATGCAGCAAAAATGATCGCTTTTCAGAGAGCGAAGGAGAAAGAAGGAACAGAGAACAGTGAAAGTAAAAGGAACAAGTTACAACAGGAACAGAAGAGATTGAAGGACGATTGGATGCGAGAAGAAACAGAAAAGAAACGGCAGCTGGAAGAACTTCGCCAGGTTGAGAAAAACAAGGCGAAAGAAGAAGCAGATAAACTGATTTCTCTGGAAATGCAAAAACGGATAGAGACCGAAATGGCTAAGCAACAAGAAACAAAAGATGTTTTTGCTAAAGAACAAGAACGTAGATTACAGGAGGAAGCGAAGCAGGCAGCTGAAGAGCAGAAACGGCTGGAAAAGCAAAAAGAGGTGGAGAGGGAAAAATTGAAACATTTGGAACAGGAAATGGAACGCGCGGAACACGAGCAGAAGCGTAAACTGGAAGAGCAGAAGAAACAGGAAGAAGATTGGGTTCAGTTTGCACAAGAGATGAAACAGAAACAAGAGGAAAAAACCAGAGAAGAAGCTGAGAAACAGCGACAATGGCAGAGGGATAAACATAAAGAAAATGAAGAGATTAGTCAGTTTGTGGAAAGACGGAAAGCTTTGGAATCACAGAGAAGGAAAATGTTTGATGAGGAAAGGGGCAAGACGTCCGAGGAGGCCCGCTTGTTGGAGTCGGGTGTACGACAACAGTTTTTGGCGAAGCAGGAAAAGGTCATCACGGAATTGTTACAAAATGATCTGGTGAAGGATGAGGTCAGAAAGCGAGAGGAAGCGGAGATAAAGAGAAAAGAGTGCGAAGAGAGAAGGCAAGAAGATGATAGGAGAAAGCTAGAGCTTGAAAAGCAGCTAATGGCTGTGGAGAAGGAAAAGAGGGAAAAAGAGCAAAGGACGAAAGAGGAGGAATGGAAAAAATATCTTGATCAATTGAAACAGAAAGAAGATGAAAAAGTTCAGAGGGATACTGAACAACAAAAGCGTATGGCAGAACAGAGAAAAGAGGACGAGCAGAAAGCTGCTGAGATGGCCGAAACACAACGACGTGCCAGGGAACAACGTCGTAAAGAAGAGCACGAAGCTATGAAGACTGCGGAAAGACGACGGCTTGAACAAGAGCAGAAACGCAAAGAACTCGAACAAGAACGCGAAGAATCAAAGAAAAGAGTGTTACTTCAAGATCAGGAGAAAAGAGAACAAGAAAGAGCCAAGCAAGAACTAGCGATGCGTAAACAAGAGCAGGAGGAACGGTTGAGAGAAGCTAACAAAGAAAAGCAAGAACAAGAAGCACGAAAGCTTTTAGAAGTTCAGCGAAAGAGGCTTGAACAAAGCGAGACACAAGCTGCTGTGAACGAGGCGGAGCTTCTTGAGCAGAAGAGCAGGAAGGATGAAAGGTCCAAAGAGGCAATTGACAGCGGGAAGATGCTGTTGGAGGAGACTCGCAGGTTAGAAGAGAAGTTTCGGGAAGAGGCGGAGAGGAAGAAACGAGAACACGTGGAAATGCAGAAGAAGGAGTTACTGGCCATGAAAGAGGCTGAAAATGAGCTGATGAGACGAGCGCAAGCTCTGAAAAAGCAAAGTTCGTTCCACAATGATCAGAAAGCTTCTTCTTCAGCTGGTACAGACAACGGAGGAGATAGATCACGAGGAGAACGTAAGAAAGGATTTTTTGCGTCACTTTTTGGGCGTAAATAATAGTTAATCGTTTTGCGTGACAAGATCGTGGGTCAAATCACGACAGACAAGTTCCAAATTTGAATGCGCTAAACCTTTTATACCTTATTATCAGTACCGATATTCTCCATAATCCTCTTCATACATTTTCTTTGGTACTGACAAGGAGAATTTGTTTATCAATCAAAGCTTGGCTTAGGTTGGTGTTCATTTCCTTCATTTTTTGTGGCGC